TTTGACTATTTAAAAAAATGTAAAGACTTATTAAGTATTTAAACTCAAAATTCAGCATGAACTAAGCAACCTTAGTGATTAAGAGATTGTTGTTATTCTTGAGGTCTCGAGTTCGAACACTGCTCATGTAGGGGTATGAGCGTTCATTGTTAAACAGTTGAGAGTTTGTACATATATTACCTTGTATTCACCTAGATTTATAAAAAAAACTCAAAATTCACAAGATAACACTTAATTTGTGTAATATTAGGACTTATAATGAATTAAATTGTTATTAGACCAAAAATTTTGAGAATACAAGGTTATCTTTCTTTAGTTCGGTCCTACTTGATTAAATATTTAATAAATTTTATATTTTTAATTTAATATTTATTTTTACTTGAACCAAAATACTATTAGACCAAAATTATATCAAATATATAAATTTAACATGGGTCGGGCCCCTTTGAGCTCTCACTATGCTTCACCTCTAAAGGAATGATTGTTATTCCTAGATATCCTGGGTTTGAACATTCATTATCAAATGAGTTGAGTATTTCCAATAAATATTACATTATAATCACACTTAGATTAATGGGAAAAAAATCCATTACCTAAATTTAGTGAAGCAAAACTTCCACATTAGGAACATGCATGTACAGCCCACAGTCCCATTTGAATTACATTAAAAAACTGCAATCTTCCGCTTCTAATCATGATTTTTCATAAAGGTTTCTGCAAAATAAAACACAGATGATGAAGGGGTTTCTTTTATATGATGTAATGACAAGTTAAGAAGCATGAAAGAGGTTTGGTTTGTTGAAGGATAGGGGTAAAGAAGAAGTACTTGATGACAGTAAAGTCACATGGATAGCCTACAGAAGAGGGGCACTGTTGGATACTTTCACTTGTCAGATGAACATATACATGTATATATATCAATGTCCCCCTTCTATAACCAAAGCAATGTCCATTTCCTAACACTTCACATCTGTTTTCTTTCTTTCCCATCTCCTTGGCTTCTTTCCCCTTGGAATGTGTGCTCAGAATCTTCCTCTATCTTCTTACCCCTCTTCATTTTCTATTAATTAAGCACTTAAAGCAAGCTAATCTAGGGCCGTAAACAAGAGAGTAGAGTTTGAATAATATTGAGTTTGACTCGAATTGAAAAGTATAAATCTGATTTTGAATTGAAACGAAAATCTACAAACTTAAAATTATCAAGTTTAATTTAAACTTGAAATAAAAATTTGAAACTCGAATCGAGTCGAAAGCTCACGGGCTTAAAACTTTCAATCTTGATTCGAGCTAAAAAAATTGAACTCTAAATATTTTCAGACTTAACTCGATTGAAATACAAACTCGAACCTAAAAGTTAAATACATAAAAGCCTTGTATTGTTTTTTTTTTTAAAAAAGAATACATATAAATGTTATTATTATTAATAATTTAATTTAAAAAATCTTAAAACTAAACATATTTTTTTCAAGTTGATTGCAAGCTTTTCGATTCTAGTATCAAGAACTCGTTTATGCTCGTCAAGAATTTGAATCAAATTCGAACTCAAATTGAGTCTATTCAATTCAATAATTGATCGAATTTTAGGTAAGTCGATGCAATACCCCAAAAATTTCAACAAACGATTAAAATGTAAATTTTGAAAGTTGGTGGCTAAAGTATAAAATTAGAAAAGTTTAAGGAACTAAAGTGTAATTTTGAAAAAGTTATATATTTTGGTCTCATAAAAGGATATTTTACCTTAAAAATGGATTTTTGTGTCTATCAGATTTTTGATCCGAAATTTATAGAAAAGGTTTATTAAAAGATAGAGTTCAATATATTATTCGAATATCCAGATCGAAATATTCGAATAAGAAGCTTACAAAAATTTGAAGGAAATAGATTTGGGTTGGAAAATTATATGGATATTTTTTATTAGTGGAATTTAAGTTGGATTGGTGGAATTTGGTGAGAATTGTACTATAAAGTAAAATAGTGTAATTTAGTGGCTAAATTGAAATTTTGGAAAATTGGGGTAAAAAAGAAAATTTGAGACATGAGATTTTTATGATTATTTAATAATATTCAAATGGAGATGAAGGAGTGGCATGAGTGTAATTTTAGGAATTTATTGAGGGTAATTTTGGTTTTTGGCCTAAAATGAATAAAAAATCATTTTTATTATAATTTAAAGGAAAGTGTGAGATTTTTTCCCAATAAAACTCACGAAAGTTTCCTTCCTTCTTCAGCTACTGCCGAAATCCATAATTGGTAAGTGAATTTTATTTTATTTTTTCATTTTTGATCTAATTTAATGAGTTTTGGGACTAAGATGTGAAATAAGAAAATTACCTACGCTTAATTTTCTACAAATTGGTACAAGTATTGCTTTATTTTATGTTGAAATATGAAAATGGGTATTTATGGTGGATGAAGGGAAAGTTGGTTTTGATTAAGGTTAGTGATTCGGCTAGTGATGAATTCGTTAGGAACTTTGTTGAAATTGATTTGTTTTGCTTTGAATTTGATTAGAATGGATTGGAAATGGTGTGTTGAGGATTAAATTGTGATTGAATCAAAATGGGAGGCATTAGGGGATATATTGCAAAGTTTCGGCCCAAGGAGAAATTAAAGGACAAATTTTGTAAAAATTTTCAAATGGTCAATATTAAGTGTAAGAATGATTTTAGATTCTTGAAATGATGTTTGTAACTAAATTGGAACTTTGTTAGACCTTAAGGCACCTTTTCGCATAGTAGGACAATTTAAAGGGGTAATGTGAACTTGTTGAGAAATTAATATCCTATGCTGAAATTTAGTATTAGCTCATTGAATTGGACTGATTTGGAAGAAATATAAGTTTAGTAATTCAATTGTAAGTTGAAGGAAGTTTGGTGGTGAGATGGTGAAGTGGTTAGGGACATTTTACAAAGTTTTGAAAATTTATAGGATTAAGATGCAAGCATTGAAAAGTTGGGATATAATGCTGGAAGTTATAGTTAGAATATTGAATTTGGATCCATGTAGAAAGTTTCACAATATTAAGGAAGAGAAATTAGTTTCCAATATATATATATAGCTTTTTTTAGAAAGTTGATTGAATATATATGATTAATATATTAGTTAAAGTATACAATATGTTGAAAATCAATAATCGAGATCAAAATGAACCGGATACGAGGGTTATAAATATGATCATAGGATAAACTAGTGAGGCACTAGGTGAGTGCAATTTATTTTTTATTCGATATGAGGACGGCTTCCAATGAGCCAACCTCGAAAGTTTTCGATTGAAAACAATTTGAATTATTTTATGAAATATCTTTATATTGATTTACTAAATGGGTTTTATATGATTTTGGGTATGAATCACCCAAATTGTTTTATTTGATACTTTATTTCCTAGCATGAGAATATTTTTGGGTATGAACTGCCCATATATGATTTTATAAGAATTGTTTTATAATTAATTATATGGATGCATTATTTTAATATGCAAATTAGTAATTAATTTAGAACAAAGGCCATTGTATGAAAATGAGGGTTGGTGGTTGTATGGCATACTATGAGGTAGAGTGAATATGAATATGTTTATGTTATGACACCAATGTGGATCACTCGTGGTCTGACTCGGCGTACCTTAGTGGTGCACGAGATAGATTGATTCAGTGCATTTGGTTAGGTTTATATATGCATTATATGACACCAAGATTGGTCACTCGTGGTCTGAATCGGGTGCCTTAGTGGTACACGATGTGGAGTGACTCGGTGCAATCTGTTATGACAATAAATTTGTATATAGCGCACTCACTTGTTATCTGACTCGCATACCGCGTATTCTCATGATAATATAGTAAGCAAATGTCTGATATGAATAAAAAAAAGTATGGATATGAAATGATTATATGATCTCATATAGAAAAGTACAATTTTACAAAGATATAAACTGAAATAGAAAAGTATTGATCTAAAATGACACAATACAATCCGAATTACAGAATTTTATAATAAATTCTTATTACGGGTTGACAATTGATTTTATACACGTTCTATTTTATTAATGTTTGTATAATATATTGTATGTTTTATACATTAAATATTTTATTTAATTTATTTTACTTGGTTGCCTCACTAAGTGAAAACTTAGTGTGTGAGTGTTTACCACGTAAGTGCAAGCCAGAAGGAAAAGTAGGGAGTGCATCAACATCATTTCCGAGTCTGTTTAATATATTTTTGTTTAAATTATGAAGGTTTGGTTTTACAAAAGACATTATTAATTATGAATATTAATTATTAAATCATAATTATTTATGATAGAAACGATTTTCAAATTAGACATTTTTCTGGCAGTTTTAATATATGATACATTATAGAATTGCCTAAAATATTATCTGAATTAAATTCAAATTTTGATTTTTAGATATTAAATTATGATTTTGTGTGATTATTGGTTTTAAAATAAAAAAAATGCATTTTTAAATTTTTAAATAAATAAATTTTTATTGGTTTTCAAATAATAAATATTTCTTATGATCGATGTGACATTTTTAACTCGTATACAAATATGTATATGGAATAACGGTGTTAGAGTCGATCTCAAATAACTCGCGCCTCATTTACAACCTTAAACCAACCAATTGCATGCATATTAAAAAAAATGGGTGGAAATGAGAGAGAATCTTTTTTTTTCATGGCCTACCATGACAGAGCTGGATAACCGCTCAGTAGCACATGTAGGCTAAATTATTCAAAAGTTACTGAAGTTATGGAAAGAAAAAGAATGCATTACTCAATATTTATAGCTAACCAACTCTCCATATTGATTTTTCTGATATGTGGAAGCAAATATTTCCAATTCTATACGCCAAATCTACAGCCAAAACAAGAGTTTGAAGTCGACATTGTAAAATGAAATCTCTAGCTTTCCTTCTTCTTTAATCAACTTGGTAAGCCAAAAAGCTGATGCAAATTTATGATTAAACAGGCAGTGGTGTTTTGTTGGAGAATTTGGTGTTTAGATTTCAATGGAAATTTTCGTGCTCGGGCCATGGCCAAAACCCTTGCTGGTCATCGGCTCCATTGAACATATTGCAGAAGCTTTCCTCTTGAACCACTTGGTCGAGTTTTAGGCATTGAAGGTCTGCTCTTGATGAGCCTTGGAGAAGGTGAGTCATGCTTGTTGGCCTTGGGAAAAGCTGCTTACTGCTCATCAATGGCGTTCTCGAGATATCCAAGTTGACATCACAACTGTTATCGCTTCCGGTATGGCTCCATGAACCCTCGTTTTCTTTCTTGATGCTCATGATTTCATTCGAATATTTGGTTCTCAAAGCCAACAACTACAGCAGTAGTGTTTCCCAAACCAATAAAGTATAAATCGATTTCATGTGCCAATGGGAGAGAGAGATTAATAACAAAAAAGGGGTAAAGTACACAAATGGTCTTTCCACTATAACACTACTTTGTTAAGTACTCAAACTATTAAAAGTTACAAAATAATTTTCTAATTATAGTATGCTACTTTGTTGAGTACCCGGCTATTAAAAGTTACAAAATAATTTTCTAATTATAGTGTGCTACTTTGTTGATTACCCGGCTATTAAAAGTTACAAAATAATTTTCTAATTATAGTGTGCTACTTTGTTGAGTACCCGGCTATTAAAAGTTACAAAATGGTCATCCGATTATTAATATCTTCTAAACTCGTAATTTTCTGTTAAAAAATTGATTGTCGTCTGAGTTGAACTTTAGCTTGTTGTATGAGATATGATAAAACATGATCCCAAAACCGTTTGAGTTGTATATATCCCAGTCAGCAGGTTTTTGTTCAGCTTAGACGATAATCAATCTTTTTAATGAAATAACCTATGATTTTGAAACATATGAATAGTAGAGTCACCATCTTGTAATTTTTAATAGTCGAGGACTCAGCAAAATAACGTCTTATAATCAGGGGTTATTTTATAATTTTTAATAGTCGGAAGACTCAACAAAATAACGTCTTATAATCGAAGGTTATTCTATAATTTTTAATAGTCGAGTGACTGAACAAAATAACATATCATTTGTATACTTTACCCAAAGGAAAAACTTATATTCGTAAGAGTTGATGCGTTCTGACACTGCCAACTTCATATTCGTGATCAACCGATGGTAGCGCAGTAGCAGAATCGTTAAAATAAGGCAATTCGATAACTCTTATGAACATTTTTAATGTTGGATCAATAACTTAAATCAATATATATAAGATGCTGTCAGTATTGAAAAATCAGAAAGATCAAAATTCTCATACAAAACCTAAGATGATTAAAGATGGGTAATTGGGCATAAAACTGAAAGTACCTCAGCATTAAGTTTCTTGTTTAGAGCTTGAAGGGCATCATTGTCAGCCTTGAGAGCATCAAACTGTTTCTTCAAGGCATCATAATCTTTCTCCAATTGCTTGGTTTTCCACCTAGCCCTCCTGTTTTGGAACCAAATGGCAATCTGTCTCGGTTGCAGCCCCAAGGCCTTAGCCAGCTGCACTTTCCTCTCGGGTTCAAGCTTGTTGCCCAACTCGAAACTCTTCTCCAGTGCCTTTACTTGTTCCAGGTTCAGCCTCTTCTTCTTCTCCTCCAGATGTGATCCATCATCGGAAAATTCATCATCTCCTTCCTCCGACTTGTCCACACCCGAGAATGACACTGATCTCTTCATCATAAACGGTGCACCTCCCCCGCCGCTATGACCACCACCTATAGATCCGAACGAACAAAAAAGCATCCGTCAATAAATAGAAAGAAAAGAAGATTCACTCACAAAAATAGCTTGATATCGCTTAAGTAGGTCTTAAATTTGAGTCCTTGTACATATATAAAATTCTCGTTAAGAAACTCATCCACTAAAATCACGATACGAGTCGGTCCATATTAATCAAGGTAAAACTCTTTAAAAAAACTCAAAGGACAATAAGAGAGAGAGAGAGAGAGAGGGAGATACCAACCATGGAAAAGCTGAGGAGGACAAGAAGGGAGGAAATTGAGGGAAGTAGGGGAAGGGAGGTGATCATTGTGATGATCTCCATGGGGTTGGAACATGAAAGCATGAGGGGGAAAAGCCATGTGAAAGGATGAGGATTCAATGATTCATGAACTTTTGGGGGGGGGGGGGGAGGGGGGCAAATGGATGATTATAAGGACTGAGCTCTCAAATGACTATATGGTGTGGATTGAGAGGTTATAGGAACAAGACATGGTGATGGAGTTCACAAACTGAATGACAGCGATTTTTAGTTTGATAGTGAGAGAGAGAAACATGCACTCAGTAAACGAAAGGTGTGCATTTCTCTCTCTCTCTCTCTCTCTACACATATGGTTCTATATATTACATACAAATTCCTCATTCATACAGTTTAACAATTTAAGCCTAGCTACCTCTTCAATTTAAATTCATATAGTAAATATGTTTGGATTTTGAAGAGTATTATAACTCGCCGTCCAAGGATTTTGATTACAAGGGTGAGATCTATACTCTTGATAGCTAGAGATTGTTCATATAGTAAATATGTTTGAGGTCTAGTTTTTATTCATGAAGATGAAACATATTTCATGATTAATCAACAAGTGTAAGAGTTGTGACTGGGGATGGCCACATTGTTTGAGTTGGGTGACTTGATCCGAAAATATATGCATTCCACTTGATTTGATCTGATCTGACCCGAAAAATATATATCTTTCATTAGATCTCGACTTGACTTGAATTTGTAGAGAATAAATATGACCTGACTAAATATAAAATAATGACTTAGTTAAAAAATAGTAGATAGGTGGTATTATAACAATTATCCATAAATTTATTTGAAGAATTTTCACTATTATCCTCGTTTCGGGTTAGACCAGAGTTTTCCACCCTCCACCAGAACCAGACCTGACTCTAACTGATTTATAAAAAAGTCTGACCCAATCGGATTGGATAGGGTTAGAATTCGTCAATTTTGGATTAAATTGTCATTCCTAGTTGTGACCAATTTTTTCTTGGATCAAGTTATGAAGTTACTATTGTGATAGTGGTAAAAGTGTGAGGAATAGAGTTGATTAAGAAAGAAAATTAGTTAGAATATGATTCTTCTTATGCAAGTTTCCTTTGTTTTCTATCCTTATAAATAGAAAATAAGGAATATGGTTTCGGGGATAGGCTTAACAATTGTAACAAATTTTGTACTCCTTTAACATAGTGATTAATCAACAGGTGTAGAGTTGTGGCTAGGGATGGCAATGAGTCGAGTTGCGTTGGGTTTTTTAGTCAACTCGACTTGATCTGAAAATATATATCATTCATCCGACTTGACTCGAACCTGAAAATATATATCCTTCATCCACCTGACTCGATCTAAATTTTTAGAGTATAAATTTGATTCGACCGGATATAAAATAAGGACTTAATTAAAAAATAATAGAGATGAAGTATTAAAGAAATTATCTATAAATTCCTTTGAAGAAAATATACTATTATCCTCATGTCGGATCGGGTCAAAGTTTTTTCATCTTCCACCTGAACCTGCTCTGACCCTAGTCCAATTTATTTTTAAAAAATACTACTCAATTAGACCGGGTCAGATTAGAATCAGTGACAGGTTAAATTATCTTCCCTAATTGTGATCAAATTTCTTCTTGATCAAACTATGAAGTTATAATTGTGATAGTGGTAAAAGTGTGAGGAATACGGTTGATAAAGAAAGAAAATTAATTAGAGTATGATTCTTCATATGTAAGTTTCTTTCTTTTTTTTTCTATCCTTACAAATAAAAAATAAGAGAAGTTATACCGTGCGACAACCTTAATATACGGCTAAGGAAAATCGCTACCAGTTTTGTTATTATTTTTTAACAAAATTGGTAAAAAATTACCTAAAACATTATTATTTCTACCTAAAACATTAATGTTTTTTTAACATTTTCGGTAAAGTGCCCAATAATAATAAAATAGTAGAAAAATAACAAAACTGGTAGCGCTTTATCGGATATATTAACAAAATTGGTAAAACGCCTAATAATACCAAAACCGGTAGGTATAATAATGTTTTCGATAATTTTTTTATCGGGTTTTGTTAAAAAATAATAACAAAACCAATATCATTTTTCCTTAGCCGTATATTAAGGCTGCGCTCATGAGACTTTCCCAAAATATAAGTATCACGGCCGCCTTTCGGGTGGGCCCAAAATTGGGCTTCGACTTGGATTAAACGAATTGGAGTCGCCGCCGATCATTTATTTTAAAACAAATGGGTTGATCGGATACCCTATTTCTTACCTGATCTGCGTCGGATTCAGGAGTCAGTTACAGTTAAGGAAGAGTTAGCACCCTTGAACTGACCTTTCGGTACTACGCAATTTCCAGTTGCCTTAAATTAAGAAAATTATAATTTAAAACTAAAAGGTAAAAATACGATTCCAATTACTTACCTTAGATAGTTTTAAAGGTGTACCCTTAAGAGAGCAAAAAAATGTGTTAGATAAAAAGGTAAGCAATAAATAAATAAATAAATAAATAAATAAATAAATTAAAATGAAGAAAAAACAAATTAAATAAAAGATAAGATAAAAAAAGAAAAGATAAAATAATAAGTAAAATAAAAAAAATATATATATATAAAAAAGAAAAAGATGAAAAAATATATATAAATAAAACAAATAAATAAAATAATAATAAAAAAAATAAAAATAATATATGTATATAAAATAAATATAAACATAAAAAATAGTAAATATATATATATAAATTAATAAAACAGATAATAAAAAATAACATATATATATATATATATGTAATCTAAAAAAAATAAAAATATATACTAAAGTAAAAAAGAAAATGCATAAAATGTAAAAAAATATTACATGAAAAAAAAGAAAAATAACAAAGCAATTAAATAAAATGAGTAATAAGGGAAATGTGCGTATAAATAAAGTTAAATAAATAAAATAATAATAATTAAAACGTAATGTAAGGGACCGAATCAAAAGGAAAAACAAATCGATGGGCAAATTTCGAAGTAAAAAAAATTGATTTAGGGGAGAATTAAATATTTAAAAATAGGAACACGCCTCGGGGTAGATCTAGGTTCGAAACTTCGAAACCCCACCCTTTTTTGGTCATCGACGCAACCTACGTTTTTGGTTATTCGAACCAAACCTCAAGAAAAATAACATGCACATGCAAGAAATGAACGAATCAAGATAAAAAAGATGCTATCTTTTATTTCCTTTTCGAATCGTTTACAATAGCTTTGCCTTTGTATTTTTTCGTGCTTTCCTCTGTATTTTGTATGTAAATCGTGTCTTACAATAGTGAATTACAATGGCTATTTATGATGCTTGTGGATCCTATTTTTAGGAGTTTGAATTATAGTAGAACTTTATCTTATTTTTAGGAATTTGAATCCTAGTAAAACTCTATCATATTTTTAGGAGTTTGAATCATAGTAAAACTCTATCCTATTTTAAGAGTTTGAATCCTAGTAAAACTCTAAAGTTATATTTATTTTATGCATCCCACTAAATCGAGATTGTTGAGAGTATTGTACCCGGATGAAAAGGTGTATTGACAATAAGGAATAAGATTTTGAAGTGAGAAGCTTAGCCGTTATAATAAATTTTGTATAATATTTAAAACTGTCCCTGATGCTTTCTCCCGACCCCTCTCTCCCTTCTATGCGGAGCCGTCGCGATGAGGCTCCCCCTGAACCCCCACTTCGTCGTCTTTGTCAGTTTCGATGGTGATCGGTGATGATTCCTCAACCCCTAAGCTTGTTTCTTATAAAGACAAAGTCACTGGTTCCTCTGGAGTCTCTCCCACGGGAAAAACTACATATCTTGAAGACGATGATATTGATCTCTTGGATTAAGATATCTCCATTGGTGTTTCGATGGCGTCCCAACTATTGATTTCTTTGAAAGAGTCCAATCTCTAGCTATCAAGAGTATGGATCTCACCCTTGTAATCAAAATCATGGGACGACGAGTGAGTTATAATACTCTTCAAAATCGGATATACAATATATGGAAACCAATTGCGCCTATCAAATTGGTTAACATTGAAAATGATATTTTCCTTGTCAAATATAGTGATCGAATGGATTATCTAAAAGTGTGGACCGAGGGCCCTTGGACTATCTTCGTCCACTACATCACCGTTGAACCTTGGTCTGTGGATATTAACCCTTCTCAATCCTCACCGAGCCGTCTCATTGTATGGGTAAGGCTCCCTGGCTTACCTGTGACTCTTCAAAAGCGTATTTTTATTGAGGCCATCGGTTCTCAAATCGGATCAGTTATAAATATGGATATCTAAACCAATAATGGGTGCAGACTACAAAGGCCGTTTCGCAAGAATGGCAGCTAGCATCAACCTTCGAAAACCTCTCGTTTCAAAACTTCTTATTAATGGTTGCCTCTAAATTATAGAATATGAATCGCTTCATACGGTTTATTTCAACTATGGAATCTATGGTCATTTGAAAGATATATGCCCTGAAACTCAATCCTAAAATGCTACGACTCCCGCACAAACTGAGAATTTCAGCCCTCCAGTTCCGACGTCGGAGCCAGGAAACATTGCGACAACTGAACCCTTTGGCCCATGGATGCTCGTTGAGTGAAAGAAATGAAAATCACGCGCAAATCAAGCTATGAATCATGTGGATAAATCTGATGCTACGATTACCCCAAAAATGAATCCTATTTTCGACGAAACTCCTGAAAAAGTGGCTACTGAGACTCCCCAGCAGCAAAATTCGGGCGATGTTACAGTTGTCCCTCACACACTTACTCCCCCGAATCCCGTCCCGATTGACTCTGATTCCCATGAAGCTCATCAACATAATGACAAAGTCAAAGGAAAGGTTGTTTTATCAGCTAGGAAACTATTAGCATATAAGGATTGAGTGTGAATGAAGTTAGAATGGCAGCTGAGCTGTTATGAATTGCGTGAGGTTGTTGAGTGTGCATGAGTGTGTGAGTGTGAACGTTAACCTTATGTTATAAGGTTGTTACAAGTTGTTATGAGTTAGTTAGTAAACAAGCTGTATAAAATGGGCATTAAGCCCTCACTGATACGTATGGAATTAATGAACACTTTTGTTGTGAATCTCTT